GATGGGGGGGTGTGGGAAGTGGGGCAGGAAATATTACATTTCAAAATACACATCAAACCCAAAAAAAAGACTAAAGATACATTTTATAAGTGATGACAGTCGTCCTAAGAGAAGTGAACTGTATTTCACATTGTTCTCTTGCTGTGTTAGCTCTAGCTTGTACTTGGTTAACAAATGCATGTTTCATTAGCTCAGCCTTGACAAAACTGTCAATTTTCACATTCAACCAATGAAAACAGCCAGAGTAAAACTGACTGCACAAGCACACATTTTTCTAACCTCATTACAGAGCGCTTCCAAATGAAGGGCCTCCAACTTCTGTGTCATTTCTTTCTGCCTGCTCCTAAACCAACCATCGAAGTTGGGCGATTTCAAAAAATGCCTGGTAAAACACCAACACAAAATACATTTTATATTTTAATTACAATTTTCATAACACTGTTTCCTACATCATCAAATGTAAAAGTAATTACGTTAGAGGTTGAAGAAGATAATAGGACCCTTTCTCTGCTTTTTAAAAAATGTTATATTCTGGAGTATAACAGGTGCTTCTATTAATCAAGACAAGGATTAAGAAAACAATATAAAGAAAAGGGGTCTCAAAGACAAGGATTAGGAATTTTCTCAGGAAAAAAAAAAACAAGGCTCGGTTTGAAATATTCTCATTTTTATCTTTGTGCTTGACTGGAAGGAGGAATCAAGTCAGAATCAGAAATAAACCCAAAATACTAGTGTACAGTGACCTGTACTGTTAGTAGCATCTTAAGAAAACCATTACAGGTTGCAGAGAAACAGATTTAAATGAGTGAAGTATACTAAGCACTAATGATTCCTATTTGAAGATGAAGGGTCTGGAGCACAGTTCCTGTGAGGAGCGGCTGAGGGAGCTGGGGGAGAAGAGGAAGCTCAGGGGAGACCTAATCGCTCTCTACAGCTACCTGAAAGGAGGGTGCAGAGAGGGAGGCGGGGGTTGGTCTCTTCTCCCAAATGACAAGGGATAAGACAAGAGGAAACAGCCTCAAGTTGCACCAGGGGTGGTTTAGGTTGGATATTAGGAAAAATTCCTTCACCAAAAGGGTTGTCAGGCATTGGAACGGGCTGCCCGGGGTGGTGGTGGAGTCACCATCCCTGGAAGGATTTAGAAGTGTAGATGTGGCACTTAGGGAAATCATGGTTTAGTGGTAGGTGGGGCAGAGTTCAAGTAACAACTGGACTTAATGATCTTAAAGGTATTTTCCAACCTAAAAGATTCTGTGATTCCATTAAAGCATATATTCTGAAAGTAAGTCTTAATTAAATTAATACAGATAATAAGCTTGCTGACAAAACCAGCATTCGTATTACTGATGTGTCTTCATTGATCTAATTTATTTTTTTATGCTGATGAAAGAAATTACCTGTAAAGTCCTATCCAGTCTCCTTTTAAACCTGATGTGAGCTGTGGGCCTGCTTTTTCCAGAGTCTTCATGAAGTCGTCTTGGCTAAACTGCCTCAGCTGTGGTGGACTCTATGGAAAGAAAAAAAAAAATCATTAGCATACCACAAGTGTTTTCTCTAATCATCAATTCCCAGCTCACTCAAATTATATTTCCTTACCTTCCATGGTGATATGCATTTTTGCAAAGGCATTAGACTTGCCACATAACGTTCCTACAGAAAGGAAAAAGAAAGGTTGTTTGCAGAACCGGTATAAAGATACAGTCCATGTGCCTGTTTACTTATCACTTGTGACCACAGTATTTTCTCTCCCAAGTGTTAGTACAGGGTGGGGTCATGCATATTTACCACATGAGAACATAAGGAGCTTATCTAATACCATTTGTATTTCCCAGTTGCAGAACTTTACATCAGCAAGACCCAAGGAGGCCACGAGGGAAAGGAGGACAGGAAGCAAAGTACACAGGGAGTATACAGGGTGAGATCAGATTATTTATGTAAGTTTAAGATTTATGACAGAAAATTTATTAAGTAACTTGCATGAAGTGAAAGTTTGAGCAAGATGGGGGGAAGGCCAGAGAAGGGTTTTAGGTTCACCCTACATGTTCATCCTATATCTCAAAAGAACAGGAAAGAAACTTTAAGGAAAAAACTCCCCTAACCATTAACACCCAAGGACAAACAAGCGCCTAGGCATGTCCCAGTTCTCGCAGACAGAAGTCAGTATTGAGCTATATATTCAAACTGGCCGCCTTCTGAGCAGCGGGGTTGGATCAGATGTCCCAGTTAACCTACATTCATCTTGGATTTTATGCTCCACTGAGAGGTCTGTACACGCGATTTTTCCCAAGAGTATTTAAGCATTTGAAACAGCCATCCATACTGAATTTCATTTGCCCATTTTTTTCCTGAAACAGCAGTAATAATGAGGAAAACTGAGACCAGGTAGGAGAAAGCAAATTCTGCAGCCCCTGCTACAGCATGTTGGCCATTAACATTCTGACAGGAAATGAGCCAGAGATAATGCCCAGGTCCACAATAATCCCTCTGCCAGTTCTAGATGCTCTCAATCTAAGTGGAAGATGTTGTCTTTTTCTCAAAGGTCTCTTGCAACTTTTGTTTAAGCTTCACGTAGTTACAAGATTTGAAAATCCTGCAAATACTACAGTAATCTGAGGAAATAGCTGCCTTGAGGCCATATAACAACTGGCCAAGGAAGTCTGACTGGGACATGTGTCTACTGCAGGTAATCCAATGGCAAAACCACCCCAAAATCAATGAACAAAAGAAGAAAACTCAATCAAAACTCAAACTGTCTACCTTTGGAGACAGACACAGTTCTTTGAAAGTCAGATAGAACACAGGTAAAAATGGAGCTGGAAAGAGATGTAGGTCTGTGAAGAAGTGAGAGAAGTAGATGAGTTGCCTAGAGGACAAGTAATGAAATGTTCTGCCTGGACAAGGCAGATGAAAGGAACTGAGATGTGCTGGGTACAGTTTCTCATGCCCACTGGAACAGCAGCTGAGTGCACAAACGTTACTGAAAAATGGAAAATTTCTCTAAACTTCAATGACTGGCATGGAAAGCATTACCACTAGAAGACAGAATAAATATTTAAGGGAAAATATTTAGGCCAGTCTATTTTAAATTTAAATTGGTCAATCTTTCAAATATTAATAGATTACCTTTTAGTATCCCCTCAGCTATCATAGCAAATTACTACAAGAGCTTACAGAGCTCTTCTCATTACAAAGTACTTTCCAACTCTACCTTTCCAATACTGACATTTCCCAAGGTCAGGGGAAACACCCTTACACTTAAAAAACCCTATTTCAACAGGTGACAGGGATTGCAAGTGCTGAGGACGAGTTAACGCAATTTCCTTCTTACTCCACGTTAAAATACATGCACAGAGTTTTGCTTTGCATCAATGCTGCACAGTACGTCACAAGCAAATACCTGAAAATGCTGTGCAGCAACATACACGAAGCAGCATTGCTTTTTGAGATCTGAACCTTTTGTCTAGGTATATAAATGTTTCACTTTTGACATTAAGCTATGGCCTTCATAATTTTCATGCTAAGCATGATAATGCTACAGTAAAACTGAGAAAGTCCTTGACTTGGTACAAACACTCTTCTCAGCAACAGCTAAGAACACCAGTATTATCAACACTCTTCTCAGCACAAACCTAAACCGCAGCCTTGCACAAATGCAAGACATAAGCCTCATTCTACTACTCTGAAGAAAATGAACTCTGTCCCAACTAAAACCAGTAGTCTGGTACTGGTGAGCCCATGATACTCCAGGTATGGCCTCACCAGTATTGAACAGAAGGGAAGGATCACCCCCCCCTCCATCTGCTGGCAGCACCTCTCCTAATCCAGCCCAGGATACCACTGGCCTTCGCTTCAAGGGCACGTTGCTGGCTGATGCTCAACTTCATGTCCATTACGACCCCCAGATCCTTCTCTGTGAAGCTGCCTTCCAGCTTGCTGGCCCCCAGGTTACACTGCTGCTTTGTGTATTATTCCTCCCCAGGTGCAAGACTTTGCTGAGCCGCACGAGGTTCCTGTCAGTCCATTTCTCCAGCCTGCTGAGGTTCCCTAATCAGCACCACCCTCTGGTGTATTAGCTGCTCTTCCCAGTTTTGTACCATCAGCAAACTTGCTGAGGGTGTGCACTGTGCCATCATGCAGATCACTAATGAAGATGTTGGATGGCACTGGACCCAACGTAAACTGGATAGTTACTGGACTTATTCAATCAAGCTAATGCAAAAAACCAAGCTACTCCACATTACACATGTAAGAAACCCACTAGTCAAAGTACTCACTAATGGAATAATGAAACTTTCTGTCAATTCCAAAAAGTACCGCCGAAGAATCACACTCTGTGCTTCTGTAGGACGTTTCTGTTGTACACCCTTAAAAAAAAGAAATAAAATATCACATTAAGTCTGTTACACCAAAATATGTAAGTAGTAGTGGAGTTTATTTCAAGAGTATGTATTCCGGTGTTTCTGTATTCGTTTGCCATAAGCTTACACAAGCAACCCCTACCCTGAACCATGAAAGCAACAGCATCACATTCTTTTGCACTGATATTTATCCCCTCAACTGAATTTTTTTTTATTTTCAGGTAGAGAAATTAAAGAATTTCTATAAACAAACTTATGCAAATCAGTTAAAGTTTGGAAGCTCTGACTGTTACACATTCCATGTGCGAGATTTTTAGACCAAAGAGATGAGAGGGGGATGACAGAGGGTGGAAAGCCCAAACCAGATTAACTGATTAACCACTTCAGTTCTCTAAATTATTAAGCTAACTTGAGCTCTACCATTCATATGGTTACAGAAACTGTTAGCAAGGCAGCAGCCCTTCTACTGCCATGAAGGTGTACACCCATCTTTTCAGGTACGAACTGGGGCAAAGGAATCAGAACCCAAGTTCATTTCAGTTACACAGGCAGAGCTCAGCCTTAAATGAAAGCACAGTACAAGGAACAATTTTCATTAAGAACAGACTTGCAGTATTACCTTTTGTAACTGTTTAACGATTTCTTCATCTTTGTTCAAGTATGGCTTGTAAGAGGTATAAACACCTAAAGAAAAAAAGCAGCGTATAGCCAAAGGAAAAAATGGGGTATGCTTTTTAAAATGAAGAAACTGGTAATTTAACTCTGAAGCAACTTATTACCAGGTTTGGAGTCCAAAGTTTTTAGGTTCTTCAGTTTTTTCACTTTCACCTGCTTTGGAACTTCACCTGCCAAAACATTTAAAGCCACCTTACTTGAAATCTCTATCTGTATTACTAGGCAACGCTGTTAATGTGCTACAAGTCACACTCATTTTCAGAAACAGGCACTTTCATTTAGAAGACTGACTAATATTGTAAGACGTGTTAGAAACATCGACAAGTATCCAAGTATATGGATGCCCAAAAATGCCCAGTCAAGGTATCAACACCGGCACACAGGCTTTTCACTTTATGGAAGGGTTCCCTGTTGAAAAGGAAAAAAAAGACCAAACCAAAAACCTGAAAGGACGACCTTCTGAATCAGAGCAGCTGAAGAAAAATGCTGACTATAGAGCAGTGAATGACTGTTTCATCACTTAAAAATTTTATTCTAGCTTCCTCTGTTCCCCTTCGGGTAAAAGGATCAAATCTTTAGTGCATTGGCCAAAATAAAAATTGTATCTGAGAAATCAGAACAGTAGCCATAGACTAAGTGTTGTAAGAAAATGAATTTAAGTCTCCTTTTCCATAGGCCAAACTAAGGTTTGTTTTGTTTTTCAAACTTATCCTTCTCCAGCCAGAAGACGCTAAAGCTTGTTAACAGTCTTGCAGCCTCAGCAGAACTTTCCTCTTACATCTAGTTGGATGCTCTACTTCAGAAAAGATAACAGTATAAATTGCCTTTGAAACTGCAGAGTTGAGAGAAAAAGAAAACAAAAAAGCAGCCAAAAAAGATCACAAGCCCTCTCTTTGTCCCTAAAAAAAAATAAAGCATTTTTAAAGGGAGGTCAGAAAGATACATCTCTAGAACTTCCTGACTAAGCATTTCACGTCTCTGCACCAAAACCTGCAACCGAGCATCAAATTTTAAGGCAGTCCATGTATACGGCTTTGCAGAGGTTTAATAGCTTAACTAAGATTCTGTTTTCCAAACCTTAACTACACAACAGGTAGCTAACTCCTCCCCACACAACCCCAAACCCCCACAGGTATCCTGAAGCATGTACAGGCATGATATTTCTAAGCAAAGCAGAACCTTGCCTGATTATACTGAACAGAGTACGTAGCTCTTTAATTAATTTGGTGTAGTCAGAAACTGAATGCAACTTATTCTACAGAAATCAATTTCATGGTGTATTATCCTAACTGGGTATTTATGCATTCCCACTTCCAGAACACAACAGTGAATGTGTCACAGCAAACAGCTGCATTCAGGAATTGCGTATAGTAATTAGAGTACTGCAGTATTTGTTACAGGCTAGCAACTGACATGGTATCCAAAGGTTGCATTAAAATTCTACTCAATCATGTACGGAAATCACCCAACTTGAGCCATTAATAATTACTGCAATACTGACAGATCAAAAAAAAAAAAAGTATTATCAAAATATTCTCAACAAACAACTGTCTGTATTACTGAAAAACTGAAACTTGGCTTTCATAGGGGTTTTACTTTCTGTGCACTTGCTGTGACAGACATATTCTGCTCATCCTAAAATGAACACCAGTAATAAATCACACTTCTCAATTTAATACCTTATTAGTAAAGATACAAAAACCAGATTGTGCAAAAGGTAAAACATCGTTACTAATGAGCATTGCCAGCTTTTGCATTTAATGTGCTAGATTTGGCAATACAAGACATACAGTACTTAAGAGCCTGATTTCACTTGACTGATTTACATCCACGAATTAATTGAAAGTAAATTACTTATGTTTGTAAATAAATAAGCACACAGTTAGATCCTGTCATACAGGATTGTAGAAGTTTATTTGTACTTTACCTGGAAGTTTAATATCTCCAATTCGGATAATGTGAGGCCAGTGCTGAAGTGTTTTAGCAAAGAAAGGATTCGTCACCCCAAGAATGACCGATGGGCTAGAAAGATAATGACTGTGTTTAAAATATGACAATAAGAGCTTCTGTGTTAATGAAAACAAAACATAACTTTCCTTCCTAAATTGAAGTAAATTAATTTTGTATTTGAGTTACATTTTAAGCTGCATGTAAGAGCACAGTATGTTTATCAAAGTTTTTAAGTTTTAGAAAATAGCAAGACAGGTGTATCTTGAAGTCCAAACAGTAGTGGAGAAAAAAAAGTGACATCTTCTGCTTTGACTCTTGGCTGAATTCTGTCCATTTGCTGTGACAAGAACAGGGTATTATCTTTTTTTTTTTTTTTTTAAATGAGCAGGAATCTGAGTCATATTTGCAAGACAAATTGCTACTTTTCAAGTTTTGATTATAACAAACCCTCAGTACTTCAACATGCATGTCAACGTTAACTGCTCTTTGTCTGTAGAGCTACTGCTCAGATGGGTTTGGTTAAGAGACACTTAAAACCCTATTTCCTTTCCAACACTGCAGCATTCTTTGTTAAAAAGCAGTTATCGAGTGAAGTACAAGCACACGAATAGCATTGTGTCCAAGCTCAGAACCCGTCAGAGTGCCCTCTCTACTCTATGCTTAGAATCTGGCTTCAAGGGTGCACAGAGACACCCCGAGAGCAAGAGGCAGTAAGAGCATGGGGCTGCTGCTACAGCACAGGGCTGCAGAATTTGGGATTTACAGCACTCATGTGGTGAAATACCAGCATATTTTTCAGAATAGTGACTGCCATCGATTTCAGAGGCAAACAAGAAAAGCCATAACTGAAAGCCCCACTGGAACCAACATATTAAACATAGGTTATCATAATTTTTTCAGAGTGGGTTTAAAACCAGCAAATTTTAACACTTCCTCTACACCATTCTTAAGTTTCCTGTTTCTCAAGGCAAAGTGGAGAGAGAAACAAGTCATCATTCTCTGTATTTTCATTCAATTCTTCCAGCTGTATCATGGTGGCAACAGGGCATCAATTTCTATGTTAACCTACAAACATTTCTGACTTTCATCCCTCCCTCCAGTTGCTAATTATAAACAACTAAATATAGAAAAACTCATTAGAGATTTACAGATAGGACCAAAATCTGATCACACAGCTCTGTAGCTTACTAGAGCGTCTGGGCCACGGATGTCATTTCACCTCAGAATGAGAGCACAAAACTGTATCAGTTTCTCAGAAGTCTCTTCCTGCTTGTCACCGACTCAACCTTCACCAGAAAAATCACTTCTTCCGAGCCCTACTGCTGTTCAAGCATGTCCAGCTGAAAACATTTTATTCCAGATATTGTGCATTTTTCTCCACTCCTTTGAATTAGGTTTCATTAATTTGTGCTGTTTTCCTATAATCCTGTTAAACTCGTTTGCATTACTGATTTCAATTCATTGGGATTTGCAAACGTTGTTCATGGTTTTTGAGGGTTACCATACATGATTTACCGTCCCTCTTCCAAAACAATGATAAAGACCAGTGGTCATAAAAACGTCTCAACAGATTCCTTTGTTCCACTCCGAAAAATCAATTCATCACGTTTTATCTTATGTTTTTATCTGATGTTCTTTTCATCCTCACGTCATAAGAATCAATGTAAGAAACAGCCTCAAAATACCCCCGACAAAGGGCACTCTCCTGCTCTCCTCCCTAGGAACAGATCAAGTCTAGCCTAACTTAACTATTAAATCTTCTCATGCCTATTACGTGTAAACCAAAAAGCAAGTTTCACACACAAACACACTGCCCCACACTAATTCTCCAGGTCAAGGTAAACTAGTAAGCAAACCA